GTTCTCTCCACCGCCTGGGTATGACAAGGAAAACTTTTAAGGGTTATTGTTTCTTAATCATGTATTGTGCAAAGAAGCTCTTCATCCGAAATATGCATTGTCAGGGGAGGTTCAGTAACAGCCTCAAACCAGTCAATCAGTTCAATGTAATCCTGAGCCTCAAAATTGAGTTTTGGAATTCTAAAAATTCTGATGTTATTCTTGTGTGAAATTGTCTTGTTTTTAAAATTTTTCTTATAGCAAGTTCTCTATGGGACCGTTTATCTGCCAACGTAGCTATTAAAATATTTTCTACATGTGCAAAGTAAGCATTATCTAATATAACTTGTCAATAATGTCCCTAATATTATCTGGAAATTGTCTAGCAGCCCGTATTGTACCCCATAAATGTCGTGCTCCGTCCTGTATATGCGGTTTTGCTTTTATTTTAAACCACAAAGATGCATATATTTTCATGATATACTCAACTAGTACAAGTAGTGTTATAGATGCCTCCTTTGTAGAAATTTGCGGTAGTTGACCCTCTGGCGTGACTTAGTTTTCCTGGGTTTCGGAAGGCAAGATTTTCTGAGTACTTTTTATTGCTTGACAAATGAGATACAAGTACTGTTGACCTATGCTTAGGTCTTTTTATCTAATTCTATTATCTCAGTTTCCACTGGCAAGAAGTCTACAATAGAAGCCTCTTTGCAATCGTCAAGTAGCGACCCTATCGGCCCTAAAAGAGAATTGGGTCCTTTAGTAACACCATAAAGCTTTTGTAACAAATGCCTAGGTAGAAGATTATTAGCATGTAAAAAACAAATGCTCCATTGCAGTGGTTTGCTCAGTTGAGTTTCGACTAATCAGATGACGCCTCTTTTCCAGCCTATATTTACGTTTGTACCATCGCACCCAATCAAAGTTCAATTTTGTCGTGTCGTTGTTGTTTTCCTTAAAAAAAACACTAGACCTTTCGATATGTCAGTTACTTTTATTGGTAGTACTAAGTTACATGTCCGAGGTATTTGTTTTCGGGTTTTTTAATCATTGCAATATGCTCCTCCGTTACCACTATTCGACGTCCTTCTTGTTGAGACATGGTCTGGTCCTTGCGCCCATCAAAACAAATGCTCTCAATACTCTTCAATCCGGATAACTGCCCTCTCTTATTTGGTTTCTGTTCTTCTCAACTTCTCTTTGTATTTTGTTCTTATCTATAACCCTACCTTGTTCATCAGCTGATACTAAGCTCATATCTTCTAAAACTAGCACTCTTTTGTTTTTGTTCGGTTTTTTGTCTCTTTTCCAGAAGGTAAGTTCATTCAAAATCAGTATCATTATCATTTGTATCAGTTACATCGCTATCGGTATCCGTATCTGACAAACACATTAAGGTAGATTCCGGTCTACTCGAAAAGTTTCTACTGGATTTACTAGAACAAACTCTAAGGTGAAAATACACTCTCAGGGTCATAGGAGTGCAAAAGTACCATCGTATTATTAGTGGAGTAGAATGTCTGTACTTTTTAATTTTTTTTTTTATTTTATTTTTTTTTTATTGTTTTTTTTTTATTTTTTATTTTTTTTATTTACGGGGGCGCGGCTCAAACTTAAAATTTAACGACCAGTTTCACTCCCCCCCTGGGCGTGGCCAGATTTTATGAAATTGTAATTTTTTGTAATCGTTATCAGATACATCTAACACAACTTTTTTTTACTACCCCTTAAAGAAATAAAAAAAAAAGTTTTTTCGGCCCACCCTATAGTGCCAAACACGCACCTGTTCTGTGTCGCTATTTATGCAGAACACCCTATATAATTACAAAATATATTTTTTTAAGTAAACTTAATATATACATATTCTAAATTCGTACTTAGGCAATACAATATGTCTATTTTTTACTAACGAGTCTTCAACAATACCCGTACCTATCTGATAAAACAAGAAATTTAATGAAACTGGTCATTTTTAGTAACTTTTAATGACAACTCAAATATCAATTCTGTCAAATAGGTCAGTAGGTCAGTGACATTGTTTAAGGGTTACGAAGTTGTTAATGTTATATTTAACAAACTGATTAGATAAAATTAGGAAACAGGTATTGTTGAAGATTCTTAAAGAATCTGTATTAACTGTATGATTATTAAATAATATTATTAATATAGATTACTGCTTTTTTGAAAAGTATAAAATATGTAATTCTAGCCTATAACTATGAAAATATTTAGAGAATAAATGATTTTCTATATGGTGTGTATGGTTGTAGAACCAGTGCAATGAGTTCTTCAACTAAACATTTTGACAAATTATTATTTTTTTAATACAAAGTTGTATATTCGACATTACAAGATTTTAATTAAAAAAATAATAGAAATTTACTGCATTTATACAACTTGTAACACGTGATACGTCACTAGAGAGTTGTGTCAGTGGTTACTAACCTTATTTGTAGAGGGCAATTGAAAAACCAAAATTTGTCAACCAGTAGAGTGTGTGTTCTGTATAACAGGTATCAAAGCGCACATGAACGACAGCAAATAATATTGTTACAATCATACTATGCGATTTTGATGGTCTAGAATGTTAGAATATAAATCACTAGTTAATTTTTTATTTTCTTTTTATTATAAGACAGCGAAGAATGTGGAGTGAAAATCTCAAGCTGAACTAACCACAATCATAAGAAATTTGGGGTCCATCAATATAATCGAGTGACGTCACACAATTCTCTAAATTAGGATTTTTGTAAATTTCGAAAAACAATAAAATTTAAATAAAATGGGTGCAATGTCATATTTTCTTTTATTTTTTAACCAATATTTATTAAAAAAAAAAGTATTTTCAGTTCCATTCCCAATTCAGTAGATATCTACACTAACAGTAAAATTCAAAATTTGACAAGGCTTGATTATCTTTTTAAATGATAATAAGAAGAAAATCATTATTTCTCTGTCAATATAAACAACTTATTACTAACAAACTTTTTATTTGGGAAGAATAGGATAGCGTTTTTGTTTTTAATTTGGTCTATTACAAACTACATTCTCGAACTCGCTAACACATTTCTAAATATTTGACTAACTCTATTACAATTTGTGCGTTAACCACTAGTTCCGTGCAAATCCCATTAAATTGAGTTTCACAATATATTATTAGGGATCTAGATCTAGGCATAGTTGAATTTTTAATTAACTTAATTTGATTACTCTAGTTTATATTTCTTCAATGGTAATAATATTTAATATAAGCAGTTTTGCTATTTATTAATAAATTAATATTTTTTCTACAACTGGTAAATAATACATAGGAACCAAATTATGTAATTGATTATCATCATGCAAAATTTGACAAGCTAAAAGGCAGTCAGTAGACATCTTTTTTGCGATGTTATCAATCAACGAGCTGAGAAGCAGACCCTAGGCCCCTCTTGATGACCTTTTCAACCTGTAGGCTTTTTAACTAGCTAAGAGGCAGTCACTTCTCGGCGACGTTGTCAATCTGCATTATTTTTTAAAGAGCTAAAAGACAGTTCCTGTATAAACCTGAAACTAGCGAGGTTTAGGTAATGTGGAATAACCCATCCTCTCCACCATACTGTTACCGAATGCTGTCATTATTATGCATAATAATACTTTACCCCTTGTATATAATTCAAGATTAGCTTATTTGTAGTGATAAGTCTTACATCCACCTTACAATCCTGACTTGTGGTTTTTATGTTTTGGTCCTAGTACAAATATTACTCAAAGAACAAAAGTTCATTTCAAACGGTGAAGTTAGAGACTAAATGGGACTAAATAGGACTAAATGTTAATATAGATTGTAAAATAAACGTGTTTTTTACAAATGTCTGTATGGATTGATTATCTATATTGTACAGATACATTAAACATACAAGATCTTCGTAAATTATAAAATAAATTAATAATTTTCCAAACCAAAAACATTTTTAAAAAACCTGATATACAACGATTTTTAATTTTGATATTTTGCATGACACAAAGGAAAAAATTAAATAAGATGATCCACATACATGTAGTGACGTCGTCAAAATTTTTTTTTAATACAAAGCCCTGTATTTGGTGATATTTTTAGATTATTCTTAGCAAGCTGCGATATTTAGGGTCTAATGAAGGGAATTTAAAATAAACACGCTTATAAAATTAATTATATAATTTTAAATGATTAAACAAATGAAACTGAGCCAGTAATAGTTTATTTTAAATGTTCGAACTGTAAGCCTTGTATTTGATGTTAAAAAAGTTCTTGTTGAACCTTGTTTATGGTTTCTTGAGAAATATTGTTTATTTTTATACTGATTCTCTTTTTCAAATTACCCAAGACCAAATTACCCTTGTGTAGGGAAATAAAAGGCCCATTAACTGTTACCCCCTTCAATTGTAATGATGGTCATTTAACTTAAATAATTAAAAGGTCAGCATATACGGCCGACAGTTGGGCCGAAGACACTTACCCATCAAATCCAGTTAATAGGGACTCATTTGCCCATTAATGTCTAGAAATACATAAATGGCAATTAAGGGAAGTAAACTGGAAATTGTAGGCCTTTTACCATATTAATACTGACCACTATATAAAGGCCATGTACCAGACATAAGACCACACAGGTGATTCAGTAGTGCCTCTTTGACCAGTAGTATCGTTTGAACTACAAATTTTATACTAAAACAAAAGGCTCACAAAATATTGTAGATATTGTGTTTAATTCAGCTATATAATACAATAATAGAGAAAAATATCTCGTACAAAAAGTATATTCATAAAATATTCTAAATTAACAACATGTAAAAGTAAGAAGTTAATTATTAAATAGTGAATACTGAATAGTGAATACCTGGAACACGAGACTGGCTATAGCACATGTTCACTCCAAGAGATCATCGGTATCTTTATCTTTACAACGTACGCATTTATTTAATTTAATTAAAACTTCAACATCTACAGGAATTTATTTGTTTTAGATTCCATGTAAAAAAAAGTTTCAAATAGACCAACACGCGAAAACACCCTCACATATAGCAAAGCAAAGACACTCGCAGACAAAGTCAACTTCCCTTGAAACAATATTTAGAATTTGGATCGTCTAGAAGTGAACAAGCTATTTTTAATGAAGATTTTTGCAAAGATTTAGTGACTTCGAATATCCCTTTAATACGATTAAATAATCCAAATCTCCGATCATTTTTGCAAAAATACTGTAAATTTAATATTCCAGAGCAAAGTATATTATGCAAACGTGGTGTTGACAGTTTGTACATTGAGACTCGTAAAAAAATTCGTGAGATTACCGTTGGAAACCATTTCTTCATTATTGTGGATGAAACAACAGACTCTTGTGGTCGATATATAGCCCATTTAATGATAGGTTCATTACGCGAAAAAATGCAAATTGGTCCATATCTAATCGCTTCAAAGCAATTAGATAAAATAAATAACTTGACAATAACTCGTTTTATCCAGACAGAATTGTCTTCCTTTTTTCTTCCGGAAGCCGTTCCAACAGAAAAATGTTTATTGCTGTTATCCGATGCTGCCCCGTACATGGTAAAAGCCGCACAAAATTTAAAAATGTTTTATGAAAACTTAATACATGTTACATGTTTGGCTCATGGTCTTAACAGAGTTGCAGAAGAAATTAGATCTAACTTTCCTTTAATAAATGATTTAATTAGTAATGTAAAAAAATATTTCTTAAAGCTCCTCTAAGAACTCAATTGTACAAAGAAAAATTTTCTAAATTACAGATGCCACCGGAACCTGTGATTACTCGGTGGGGTACCTGGCTTAAAGCTGCCCTTTGTTACGCAGATAATTATGAAAAAATTAAAGAAATCATATTTGATTTTGATGATTCATCTAAGGGAATACCTAATACAGAGAAGTTGTTTCAAAATCACATATTACCAAAGCAATTAGTGTTTTTTAAAAATTATGCATTTGTACCCAAAATTATATTAGATTTAGAACAAAAAAATTTACCTTTGGTGACTTCCGTAAATTTAATTAAGACGTTTGAATCAGAGTGTAAAAGTGTCCAGGGCGATATTGGAAAGACGATTTTTCATAAATTTTCAAATGTAATTTTAAAAAATGAAGGATTTATTGTTTTAAGAAACCTTGCTAATATTTATTCTGGTAACTTTGAAGATATTAATACTATTCATCCAGATATTTCAGAAAAATTTAAGTTTGCACCTATTACTTCTGTAGATGTCGAAAGGAGTTTTTCTTTGTACAAGTACATACTTACTGATAGGAGACAATCATTTAATACAGATAATTTGAAAAAACATCTAGTTGTTCATTCGTTTTATAATAATGTTGATTTGTAAATAAAATTAGTTAATAAATAAATAATAAGTATTATATTAGGTATTTTAAAATAAAACAAATAATAAATATTAATAAACTATTTCGATCAAATAACAAATTACTCTTATTGCATATGCTCTGCATATTTTTCAATTTTTTACGCATATATTGAAGTATTTTGCGGCATATATATGCGCATATTTAACTACTTTTTGGGTGCATATATTCCTAGGTCTATTTATCTATAAACACGGGGCGGAACCCTCCAGGACTGTTGAGGTTGGGTCTTTAGCAGTTACTTAACATTCATAAGCCCATCAACAACCAACATAATGCTGGGCCATTATCGAAAGACCAAAAGTATGCTTTTATATTTTATCATTTCATTCATTTTCCCTTTAATTATTTGTTGGGTACCGTAAAGCGATAATTCAACTTATTCAGCAATCATTACAACACTTACAGTACTATTTAACTATTACTAAACCTAAATTATTACAATGATATTAAAAACTAGCCAACTAGTTCTGCAGTAAATAAGAAATATTTATTTTGTTAGCGCGTATTTTTCAAATTATGTCCATTAGTATCTAAGCATCGTACTTGATCGAAATCAGCTCGTTAAGAATAATCGAAAAATGTCACTAAATAAAAAGCACTGTATTTAAAAAAAAAATCCGATGACGTAGTTACAATAAAGGGTAATTATAATGAAATTGTTTTTTACAATACCGAAAATTTATATTAAAAAATATTTTAAGATTAGCAAATAATGAATGTATTCTAGAGGCGGAAGTTTTCTGCATTTTTGCAATTTTTAAACTGGGTATAGGGCTCCCAAATTGTTTGATTTAAATTTTATTCTCGAGCGAGTACGCAGAAAAAAATTTCAATAACAGATGCTTATTTTATTTGTCTCGGAGGATTTGTAAACAATATTTGTATTTATTATTATACAAAAAGATAATAAAACGTTTATCCTATGTGGACCCGGCCCTCCGATGCAGTTACGCACAACGGCAATCGTCAACATGCGAATAAAATACTGCCGTGTTAATTCAAATGGTCGTATCTGTTTAATACTTGAATGCGAGAAATTAGATTTTTCTGTTTTTTTCTAGGCCACGTCGTCATAAAACCGATTCGTTTGGATTCAATCACTCTTTTTGGTGTATCGAGTTCAATGTGTGGTATGTACCGATAAATGTGCCTACTATGAGTAGCTTTCCATAATTCTCTTGTCTTTTTGTGTTCATTAGGTGTTAACGTTAGGATAACTGTCAGGTAATGTTTCCATTGCTTTATATTATTCACATTTTGCTGGATTTCGTTGGAAAACCGAAAAGATAGGCCATTTGTTTTCTTTATTACCACCATGCTGACGAATGCTGGTTTATTATTACTGCTTTATTTTATTTTATATAGATTATAGCTACCCTAACTAATAATATTTTTAGGCTTTCTTTGATACTTTGATATATACGCAGGGAGGCAACTAAATAATTGAATTACAAGTCAGTCTGGAAATACAGTTTAAATGGAAATTTAGGGCTCTTAGCTTATTTTGGTCTTATAAATAGCTTATGTTTTGTTCAGATGATGTAAAACTTATTGTTATAACTTATTTTGGCCTTAAAAATATTTTATATTCTGTTTAGATGATGTAACTTTAAAATTGGTCGTGATATTTTATATTCTGTTCAGACGATTTAACTTTAATATTTGTCCCGTTTATGCATAAATCCGTTAGGTGGGAGTATCATTTGTCATTGGTCATTGTCAGGCATCCATTGCCTCCCGGTGAATGACATTTGCCATTACCTGTATTTATTGTGATTATCAATAGTATCATAATAGAGAATTATTGCAAGTTCACTTAAGGTCAGTCACTATTAGTGCCGCTCTTATTTTGACATCTGAGCATGCGCAGATCACTAAATTTAATTAAGATTGTGGCTGTCCTTAATAGAGAGATATTGCAAATTTCTATAAAGCCAGCCACTAAACTTTAAATTATAATCCATCTTCGTTGTTGTCTATAATATTAAAGAGGCATTAGAAATTATAATTTTGGAAGGTTTAAATGACGATTATATTAAATATTTAATATTAAAAAACTTCTAACGTATACGAATGTCGGCGAGCGCATCCGAAAACTATAAAGTCGCCACTACCTGCTGCCCTTAAACATCCACAATTAAGGACAGGCACAATCCTTAATAAAGTCAGTTTTAGAACATAAACATCTGCGCATGCTTGGATGTCAAAATAAGAGCGGCACTAATAGTGACTGACTTTAAGTGAACTTGCAATAACTTTCTTATTAAGGACAGGCACAATCTTTATTAAAGTTAGTGATCTGCGCATGCTCAGATGTCAAAATAAGAGCGGCACTAATAGTGACTGACCTTAAGTGAACTTGCAATAACTCTCTATTGTCAATAATTATTATTTGTTTGTATTTGGGTGTGCTCTGGATCCTGTATGAATAAATAGTAAGTATTTTTTAAATTATTGTTTATTGTATTGTCAATTTGGTCTTGTTCAATTGTGTTTTTAATGTTCAATTTGTTTAGTTGATCTTGCTGACGATTGTGAGCTTATTTTAAATTTTTGTGGTAATTTTTAGTTATAAAAGCTGTAATATTTCGCATTGTTGTATGCCAAAGAGTTTTGTAAACACTCTGAAATCCTAATAACGATTCATTTCAAATTTGAGTATTGGCTGTTCGTAGTCCGTTTTTCAAGAATAAAACAACAAATTTGTAAAAACTATTTAGTAAGTGATAAACATTTTGAAGATAAGTTTAAAGTTCATGGTACACGCAGAGATCTGTTTTTTTATTTGTTCTAGTACAAACTTTTTCAAGCGTTTGGAATGGCAGTATTGCATCGTTGAAGACAAAAACAGCCTAGTCAGGGAAGTAATAGTCACTGTACTTTTTGTATTTATGCCTCACATTTAATTTTCATATTGATTTAGTTCAGATTGTTACTTTTACTGTTTTTTATTTGTTCTAGTACAAACTTTTTTAAGCCGTTTGGATTGGCAATATTGGATTGTGGAAGACAAAACAGCCTAGTCCGGGAAGTAATGGTCAGTATACCTTTTTTTATTCATGCCTTACTTTCTGTGCTCCCTAACAGATTTGAAGGGTTCAGGGAAAAAAGGGGCCAAGTTACAATTACCAAAATGTTCAGAAAACTAAATTTAATTTAGACTGACTAAATACAAACTTTTAATACTTTAAGGCAATTGATTACAAAAAGATGTTACTTTGTATAAATGTTGCCTGAGTATATTGTAGTTTACCACTTAATTTACCAGACAGTTGTAATTTTTTATTCTAAATACTGAAAGTGCCAAACAAACAGTAGGAAAAGATGCCAAGTCCTTGGAGATAATTTTAATGCACTGTTTTACATTTGTTAATTTGGCTTATTACATGGAAACGTACTGGTATTTTTCAAAATAGGGCGGACCAGTTCAATTTTGACAAAAATGTGACTTAGCCGCTTTTTTCTTCTTACGTCCTTCTTGATTTATAAGTTTATTAATATTTATTTTTTGTTATAGATAAAACTCTTTAACCTCAGTGGAGAATGACTTAGCTTTCCAGCTAATTAACATGCTATATTTATTTATTCTATTTGTATGTTTTTTGTTTTAATAAATTAATTTTGTTGATCATTAATTTTTTGTACTAATAAATAATAAAATTATTCAACTTGTAGTCAAGTTAGAATTGGTTCATACTACTCATTTTTTGCTATATTTTAACAAATATAATTTAATTGCTACAATAAACGTAAAAAAGGAGTTAGTATGAACAAATCTTCATTTGACTACCACTTTTAAACTAAATATTGAATGACAATTTTGAATGTTCCCGCGTTTTGTGTTAACTAAAGTGACCGCGAGATGGCGCCACTTCCGTCCAAATAGTTCAAAGAACGGTCACCCAGCGCTACAATACTGTCTCGAATTTTAACAGTCGTTTCCATTCTAAAAGTAAGTGATCTGTGACTGGGACAAACCACCACTGAGATAATGTATATTTCGTATTATTGGTATGAAAATTCAAAGTTATAAAATGTTTACACTTGTATCACGAATAAAGGGGTTTTTACTGTTTACGCTAAACTAATTTCAACGTTGTCACGTCTAGCGACAAACCATTTTAATTAAACGGGAACCAGTTGTAGAAAAGGAATAGTATGAAACTCGCAGTAATGGCTACTTTATTTTAAAAAATTTACACATATCCTTTAGATTAATAGACAACATTACTACTCGTTAAATTAACGTTAACATAAATGTCATAAAAATGCAACTATCCCAGTCGAGTCAGTCTTT